ACCCCACCTATAAGCCTGCCAAGCTCTTTGACAGAGGACATTTGGCCCCAGGCGATTCTGATGTCAGATGTGGTCAGCTGCTATTGAGTTGGCCCCTCTCAAGGTGACCCCATGCACAGCCGAGCCCAGGCTGTGCCCAGTACCAGTGTGGGCTGGGCTGCTGTGAGCCACATGATTCTCATTGGCTGATTTTTCACAAATAGATCTTTCTTCTCATGATTTCAAATACATTCTCCAAATTAATTCCTGGAAGAATTCACAAATAAAACTACTTGCTTGGTAGTAGGGAAGAAGGAAGGTGATTTTGAGAGAAATCTAGACTGTGGTATTCAACCTTCTGGACGCTTGTGTGCTTCCACGACCTCTTCACTTTGGTCTGTCACTTGAGCCACACTCAGTAGCTTGATCTGAAACCACCCTCTCCTAGGAAGAAAGATGTACCATTCTGAAGGCATTCTGGTACAAACCTGTAGACACAAATGCTTGTACTGGCTTTACCCTGAAGCATTAAAGGTGGTGTGATAGTAGGGGAAGCTAACTGAAAGCATTGGCCAAAAACAGAACAAAAACACCACAAACAAACTTCTGCAATTTATGGAATACCAATGGAAATTTTTCAACAAATAGATGCAGTGCAAAACCTTGCGGACCATTTTAATGATGGGGCATGATTCAAAATGAGAAGAAACATTTGACAACATCTATTAATAATGTGGATTGTAACAAAATGTGAGTATAGAGAAATGGGAGTTGTCAAAAATGAAATGGAATGCATGAAGATTGATATCCTAGGCATTAGCGAGCTGAAATGGACTGGTGTCAGCCATTTTCAATCAGGCAGGTACATGATTGGCTGTGCCAGGAATGACACATTAGGGAGGCGTGGTGTCACCTTCATCATCAAAAGGAACAATTCAAGATATAGCTTGAGTTTCGATGCTGTTTATGACATTATGGCAGGATAATGTCTATATGCCCACAAATTTACGAACCAAACACTAAAGTTAATGTTGAAAAAATTGATCCTACCAATTTCTTGAGGCTGAAATTCACCAAATGTGCAGTAGATGTGCTTTGATAATTATGGATATTGGAATACAGTCGTTGGAAAGAGCGAGGGAAGCTCGGTGGTTAGGATATAGGGTCTTGGTGCTATAAACAAAACTGGAAACTGCAGGGTAGAGTTTTGCAAGACCAATGACTTCTGCATTTCAAATTTATATTTTTCAACAACATGAAAGATGAGTGTATATGTGGAGCATGCCAAATAGAATACACAGGGGCCAACTGTGGAATAGACCACCAATTGTCCATATACAAGTTCAGGTGGAGGCTGGGGAAAATTAACACAAGAGTCAAATCCAATCTTAAGTATGTTTCACCTGAAATTTGCGACCATCTCAAGAACAGATTTCATGTACTGAACAATAAGAACAGAAGATCTGATTAGTATTGGGATAACATCGAGAACCGCAAAGGGCTGAGAAGCCACACCAGAGACCAGCGATGTGAATAGCCTTGCTATCATGCAGAATGCATCTGAAAGTGGGTTATTGCAGATTCAGTTAGGTTAAAATTTAGCACTTTATCATTCGATCTCCCTTTTGACCCATTTTATATATTTTTTCTAGTTTTCTATATTTTCTGCTTCCTTTTTGAGTGAGGATTTTATCTGTTTGACTTTGTTATTGTTAGGTTTTTGTCTGTTTTTAATTATTTTTCAATACTGAATACGAGAATGAAGAGCATGTTCTAAAACTTATTATGACGATGATTGTACAACTGTTCGTGATATGATCGAACTATTAAATTTTATGATGTATGAACTACATGCCAATAAAACTGTCATTTAAAAATGTTACAATAAAAAAAAATGTGGAAAGAATATACAATCATCACTTTGCCAAAAATAATTGATTGATATTCAGCCATTTCAAGAGGTAGCATGTGATTAAGCTCAGATGCTATTGAAGGAAGAAGGTCAGGCTGCAGGACCCAGGAATTGACGGATTACCAATACGAGGGGGGTACCCCCCCAAAACGGAATTTCTTATGTTTTTCAAAGCTATGTGCTGAATTTTTTTTAAACAACCTTATCACCTTCAAAGTACTCTCCATTATCCTTACAACATTTGTCAAATCTGCAATTCCATTCTTGGAAACATTTTTCAAACTCATCCATTTGGATGGCTGACAGCACCTCCCCTGATTTTTTTCCTCACCTCTTATATGTCATCAAATCATTGTCCTTTCATGTCCCTTTTCATTTATGGAAACAAAAAGAAGTCTCAAGGTACAAGGTCAGGTGAGTAAGGTGCACAGGACAAGAGAGATATGTTGTTTTTTTGTCAAAAACTGACACACTGAGATGGCCGCATGAGCAGGTACATTGTAGTGGTGGCAAAACCTGTCCCCTGTCTGCCACAAACCAGGCCGCTTTTTGTTGCACACGGTTGCACAATTTTTTCAGACCCTCTAAATAGAAAGCACGGTTAACAGTGACCTGGTGGAATGAACTCCAAATGCACAAAGTCGACATTTTCCTCCATTCAGGAAGCTGACGGACGTCTAGAAGGTGGTTTGTGAACAATCAACATTTCATCTTTTTTGCAATGAGAAAAATCACTCGTATACTTGAGTTTTTCCCATAGCTCTGTCCATGTAAGCTGCGTTCAACATCACAACAGTTTCTGCGGCATTGCAAGAAACAAAATTTCACAGCTTCACGCTGTTTTCTTCAATTGGCCATCACAAAAAAAATGAGGTTGGAGCAAATTGTTTTTATGAAAAAATTCACTGTGACTAGAGAGAACCTTCCAGGCGAAACCACTGAGTGCACTAACTCAGAGCCAGTTGCTTGGTGCTTGCCTAGCGCAACAACAACAACAAAAAATGCATTACTACGGAAGCTCCACTCAGTGGGGCTTTTTTCCTTTTTCTTTTTTTTGGCACCCCCTCATAGAAATGTTTTTAAAATTGCAGCACTGAATGCACTGACTCATCTGTGCCAGGGATTTTGGAAGAGAGCCTCCTGGTTAACCAAGTGAAAGTGATGCATGTATGTGTCCATTCCAAAGAAAGGTTATCCAACAGAATGTGCAAATTACCAAATGATGTCATTAATATTACATGCAAGCAAAATTGTGTTGAATATAATTCAAAATTGCTGCAGAATCCATTGACATTGATCTGCCAGAAATCCAAGCCAGATTCAGGAGAGGAAGTAGGTTGGGTCAGTGAACCTTCTGCTTTTTCACACTGTGAAGAAGGCCTGTGCAGCCGATATGCCCAATGCAACACTTAGATTTGACTTCTGGGTGCCTGCTTTCACGAGCAGTGATTGTGGATCCAAGCAAAATTAAACTCTTGACAGGTACAATCTTTCCCCTTTATTGTGATGTTGTCTATTGTTCTTGTGAGGGTTTTTGGCTCTCTGGGAGTTTCTGCATTTATTGTACTTTGATGTTTAGAAGGGAAACACTTGGTATGTACGTCTAGATAAAGGAAATTTTGTCTCAGAACATGTCTAAGAGAATTCTGTCCACATTTCTCTCCTCTTTTTAAATGGATCATTTCTTTCTTTTTTTGAGGGGGGAGTCACTTCTTTCAGCCTACACTCTTAATCTCATTTGGAAGTAATTTCTTCCAGAGACTTGCTTTCTAGACCACATTAAGTTCCCTTGCTAAACCTTTGAACATTCCCCAGTGATGTTCCTCAAATAATGTAGAACATGCTCTTCTTTTAGGATAGCAATGTCTTTTTTTTCTATTTTATTGCAACTTTAGTGTCTATTTGTATCTGTTTCATTCAGTTCTGTGACTGTCGTATTGAATATAATGCCTGAAACACAATAAGGGCACACAATATATGATGAATGAATGACTTTTAAATTCTGCTCTGAGAATCCTCAGCACTTACCACCTGTCATGCAGTAAAAGTCCATAAATGTGAATCTAAATGGTTGTCATAATATCTACATCTAGGTTCTTAAATAAAATGTACAGTTTTTCAACCATTAAAGCTTGATAATAGGATACAGTATATAACTGTATAGTCACCCTATCCAACTGCTCCCTAGGCTTTCTGAGGGTTAACTCTTACTGAGAGCGGACAGTTTAATCTTTCTCTTATGGAGCTGCTTGTGGGTAGCGACCCAATGAAAGATTGACTTAATGGCAGTTCATTTGGCTTGACATGGGACACACATGATTATATATATTGGAATGTGCAGAATGATTGAATCTGTCAGTGTGACAGATCTTTCAGTATCTCCATTAAAAGAAAAAGAAGTTGAAGAGCAACTTTCCATATTTCTTGAAAATTATGTCCAGTACATAAGCTAAACAGAGAAAGCCTTAAGATGAAAATATGTAGTAGTGGTCAAATTGAGCTTGATATATTTAAAAATATAACATAAGGTGATATTTTGGGATATTCCATTTAATTTACATCCGTATGCATTGCCTTAATATATTATTTTGGAAGATTTTCTATTTATAAAAATATTGCTTATGAAGTTAGATATTAAAATTTAGATAAACCCAGTAGTTCATTTAATTAGTATAATGTATTCCAGTACTTTCATCACATATAAAAAACAATACTGATCTCCATTTGCACTTAGAAAATGCAAGGTAAATGGAATTATAATTGGATTTGTTGTGCTTCTTAAATTAAAAAGTACACATATATCTAATTTAAGATATGGAGGTGTATATCCAGTTAGGAAGAAATTGTGCACTTAACAAATTATGGACATGTATGCTTTTTAATGCATACCAGGTTGACATGTTTAATATAAGACCAAGCATAGAAGTGACGGTAAAGATTCAATTGTGGTTAAAAATGACCACGCAGTCACTCAACTGCATACACTAAGACGTCTACCACGTGTCATATGTGCTTTGTTCAGAGGAAATGGTGACTTTGAAGTAGCAAAGTATTGATTCATCATGTTATAGCCAGAGGGATGCTAATCATTTTCCGTTTTTTCTTCTAGCACACTGATTTATGTCAGTACATGGACAAGCACCCTGGGGGGCTGCATCCAGACAATGTGAAGGTAGGAAAGAGCTTTGTAAGCAAGAGTTAGCATTCATCGTGTGTACTGTTGAAGCTAAAGACTAACAGCATTAATTTTGTCCTTAAATTATTATGTAAAGTGAGGTAATACCCAGTGCTGCTGGCTGCTACTTCGGTTTTGTCATTGTAAGCTATATCTTAGTATTGAACATTATCGTCATTGAATTTTTTAACAGAAAAAATAGCATTAATATTGAGTGAGATCCAATGGGGATTTTATTTTAATGCATTTTAATAGAGGTACATCTCAGGTGGCTCTAATTTGGAGCCCCATGCTGAAATACTGAACTGGTTTGAAAAGAAAGAATTGTTATGAATGACCTCTAAAACAGTGTTAATCAAAAAAATCATAAAATATATTAATTAATAAATAAAAAAACCTAAAACAGTGTTACCTTTATTTTCCAGTGCAAACAGATAAAAATGGTTCTACGTTGTGTTACTCTTTGATTTCTTTAACTCAAAATTGAAATATTATGGATCAAAATAACAAATTTTCCTAACGTTTGACCTAGTAACCATTCTGAAAAATTGTCTTCAAGTTTGAAAAGACTCTTTCTTGGTAGTTAGAAGACACTGAAATTATATGTGATGACTTAATGATTTTCTCACCTTTTTAATTCATGTGATTATATTTGTGATCTTGAGAACTAGTTATTATGAACATATTTGAGGTAGTCTTCACTATGAATGCCACTCTTCACAATATGGCATGTTTTTTCTTTGGTATTTCCCTTCTGATACAGGTCTATATGAACACAATATGTATAAAAATAATATATATATACTGCTGAATAGATTTGTTTTTCCCACTTATCATGGACATCCTGCTAAAGCACTACATGACTATGTAGCTCAGTCTTTATGTTAATTACATATTAGACCGTAATGTGAATAATCCATAGTTTTCTTCATTGTTACTTCTTCATCACCTTTGAGTTGTTCCTAGAATGCTGCTACTGTAAATGATTCTAAAATAAACATAAACATAGAAGCATTATACTTTTCTTGGATCTTTTTATTCTGATTGCTTTTGTAAGAAAGAGGTATGATGCTCATTTTAAGGAATCTGACATTGCCCAAACATTGTAGCTTACACTCCACCACAGGCCTGGCACCCTTCACTCACTGGCACTCGGTAGAGTTGAACCTTTTAACTTTGGCTGTTCTGATGCGTAAAGACAGGACGTCTCCTTAGTTTGGTGGTTTTGTCGTGGGAGCATTGAGCTCCTTTTCACAAACTGCATGACCATTTGTAATTTTTTTTTTTACAAAAATTGTTGCTTGTCTCTATTGTGCATGTTTTATTGGATTGATTTTCATTTTCGTAGTCAGGTGTAAGAACGTTGTAGGTCAGTAATGATTAAGATTTTTATGGTCATCAGTTATGGGGTACTCAATTAAAAAGTTCGACATGGAAAATATGTGACAAAATATTGATTTTAAATAACAGAATCAATATGGTAATTTTATTCTTTGTTGCTTTTCCATGCTTCATGGGTGTGGCTGTTTGGGGGTTTTTTGTTTCTGAAAGATTTTTATTACAGAATTTGGCTATTCAGTTTTCTTTAAAAATCTCTATCACTTGAAGTAGATAATTTTGAATTAGTCACATTAAAGAAGATGTTTTCTCAGATAAAGTGGATTGTATTTTATCACTCGGGTTCAGATTTACCTGGAAGCATGAATAGAACAATTTAAGAATAATTTTGGTTTTTACCATGAAAAAACTTGTCTCCTTTATGCATTCATGAGTTTCCTTTGAAGCATTGGAAACAAACAGTACATTTCACTCCTTGTTCTTGTTTCCCACATGAGACCTTTGTGGAAATTAGCAGCTACTATGAAATAACTTTCACTTCCCACCTGTCAAGTTCAATGTTAGGATAAAGGGATAGGGCTGTTATTGATGGATTTTCATTTTCCATGTTGGGTTTTCTTACCAGTGCTCCATGTGGAATAAGTTATGCGCCAACATTGGTGAAAATTTTGTTGGTGGAACAAAGAAAACATTCCACAAATCCCCTCTTCTCAGCCTTTAACTCAGCATCACGGGTGGTTTCTGTTGATCTCAACGTGTAGATTTTACTTCTCTCATTGCATTTTAATTTTCCTGATCTCCTGACGATTATGGAGAGATTGCCAGTTTTGTTCTGTGTTCAGTAACTGTACACAGTGTAGCAGGAGCTTTCCCCTAAGGTTTGCCAGCCTTTCTTGCATCCCGTGGTCATTCATCACACGGCTGTTGTACCACAGTGTGGTAGTCTGGGGAGACAAGAGAAACACAATTCACAGACACTCAGATTGTACAAGAGAGAGCTTTATATAAAGAGTAAGTCTACATTAAGAAAGCATCCCAACCCAGTCTGTTCCAAGCCCATAAGTCCAACATTAGCCCAAATGTCCGACACCAATCCACAAAGTCCTCCTCCATCTCACAAAACACACGCAATGACGCCGACTGCAGGAGGAAAGCCAAGTTAGTGAACGTGTAAGCATCTCAGCGCTGACAAGGGTCTCCATATGGCTGCTCCAGCACCCAGGGCTGCATCGGGGTAGTTCCATGTGGCTTCTCAGGGATGTTTCACAGGAAGTGAGCCTTGCCAGCTGAAGCAGGGAATTGGCTAAGGCAGCTGCACCCTGGTCCGACCATCAGAAAGCAAGAGACCCGAGAGCCAGAAAGGTGAAGCTCACCAAGTCATTTATCTCTCCACCTTTCAATTAATCCCATGTGTTTATCGGCCAGGTTGGCACAATAAACCTTAATTATCACACACTGTAACAGAAAACGCATGGTGAATACCACAAGAGCTACTGACTCTTAGGCCAAGTTGAGAAGCTTGATGTTGAGGAAGATGTGCAATCAGCATAGAAATAATATCCTAGGAATTCGCTGGTACACCCACAGGGAATCTCGTGATTAGTGAGACACCACCCCTTCTGGTAGTTGTTTAAAGTAGTCTGAATGCTGTTTGCTTCTGAAAGTTCATGATGTGATTTATCACATCTCTTGTCTGTTTGAAAATTAATATGTTGAGGTATGGGTATCTCAATGTACACATTGGTAACAGAATCGTTGGCTCTTTGAGGATCTCATTAGTCTGATGTGTATTAGTCTCATTTCTGCGCATGTGTGAGGGTAAAAGGAAACTTCAGTAATCATCTAAGAGATCATCAAACTTGACTCCACAGCTGAGTTGCCCGGGATGCAGAGTGTGTGTGTGTGTGTGTGTGTGTGTGTGTGTGTGTGATATACAATGAATGTTAAGTAAAAAAAAACCAACTATAAAATCATAGAAACAAAGCTATTAAAATGAAAAATTATTGTTTCTTAGCATATACTCAATCTAGATGTATACTTTTCTAAGGGTATTTTTACCGTCTCTCTCATCCTTTCCTGAAGAGTTGCATGCTCCATGTCAAAGTGTCAGCCTTCACACTGCTTACGTAGCTAAGCCCATTGCAGGACCATGTCCTAGGAAAGGGGTCCATTCCTGCCGCCTTCTGCCCCACACCGTTTCATACAAGGAGAGACCTGCCAGTGAGAGGAAGGGACTTGTCAAAGGGTTCTTGACTCTTGGTCCAGTGCTCTATGTTGTACACTGTATAATTAATACACGGCTTTAATCAGCTTGATTGTGACTGTGTATGCACGCGGTCACATAGATTTATCATCATTTTCATATTGAAGATAAAAGGTAGACCTTCTCTGACAGTATGAGTTTTTTTAAAAAACAACTAGAGTGCACATTGGTCATGCCAGGTGTGATGCCATCAGAACTGCTGTGCCTGTGAACACATGGCCTTTATGGCCATGTCAGTTTCTGTGGGAAGCCCTCACCTAATTATGCACGGACTTCCCTCACCATTCCTCTGCTTAGAGGCATTGCCCCCCCGCCTCCCCCCCAGGGTGACAGTCAGGATCTGCGCGGCAGGGGAAATTATTCTCGAGGAAGGCTGATCCTGACACAGTGACAGATGTCCCACGGATATTTCTGTTTGATATATTAACGTTGTTTTTTTCGTGTGGTGATATTGATTGTCACTTAAATCTATGAATGCAAAATGAAGAACACCAGAATAATATTTACTAAGTTAACAGCTGTTCATAGTGCTGTGTTAGATGTTAATTAAAAAAACTACAACAGCTGAGCTAAAAGAAGACGCTGGTATTTTTATATTTAAGACGTGAGCGCCGCGCACCTAAGGTATTCTCTTAAGAAGAGCATGCCCTTGCAGCGACTCGAGAGCTCTGTGATTGGCTAGCTATTTCACAATTATGAAATTATTGGAATGCGATCAGCACCGAGTGTTAGTGGTACACAGAGGGGGGGGGGGGGAAGCACAGCAGCCACGTTCTGTAGCATCTGTATTTGGTTATGTGAACTCTTAGTCCATCCCTACACTGCCTGGCAATTTAGAGAAGCGTTGAACCCTCTAAAGATGGACTTTGGGGGTATGTTTTACACATAATTTATTTTGAAAGAAATGAGGTGCCTTGCACATAGGAACCAAGATCAAGGAGGTTATCCCTTGGGCCTGTCATCATTACACAGCTAATGTGTCCCGGAAGAAGAAAGGGAGCGTTTCTTAGAAAACAGCCCCACTGGAACAATGTGCAGCTCCCGATTTCATCGTAAAGGATGAAATAGTTTAAGGTAATCTTGTGCCATTTCACAGAAAAACATTTGTTAAGGCCTTCCCTTTCTGAATGTATTTTATATTTCTTATATGCATTGAAGTGGATGCCTAAGCAAACATGAAATATTAACCAAATTTGGAGAATTACTTTACTAATTTAGTTGCTTACAGATTGTGTCCAAACCAATATGACATTCTGTAGTAAATACTCACTATTAACTAGTAGTTTGTTGCTAAGCATAATATCAACTTCTGACAAATGGCGAATTTTAGCATTTAATTACTTAAAGGGCAATTTAAAACCCGAACCAAAAGCCTGAGGACATTGACCTTGTTATA